AGTACATGTGGAGTTGTACGTATGTTCTTACATCGGATGGACTCGTAGATGCTTTTCGTTTCAGAGAGTGTTCGTTGACTCGCATCAACTCATTTTCGCCTCCGCATGTACCTTCCATGTGAGAAACCTGAAAACAAGTTAGCAATACCAAAAGTACATTTTTAATCGCGTTTATTAGAATTTTTTTGTATTCTTCATGCACTACTGATAACAAGGGATTTTACACGACAAGCAGATTTCCACGATTGACGATAATGACAGACATTCTACACATGCGTTCACAGTCCACAAGCTCGACGAACACGAGAACCAGCGAAAAAAGTCAGTACGTATCGACCGGGAGCTCTGGCGAAACGGCGAATCCGGCGCAGCGCGAAACGGGCGCGATTTTGCTGACTCCGCCCTGGCGACGGACGGATTGCCGAAGTCGCACTCTCTCGCTCCGCCGGTTCTCCCGATCGATACGTACCCAACTCCTTCCAATCGTCCGCACGATTCGCCCCTCCGGTCTGCCGATTCTTCTTGTCGGTACGTATCGAAGCTTTTTGTGGGTGTCAAAACTAATGAGAGGCGCACTGCAGCGAAAATACGCCATATCACTATGCGAACATTATTCCGGCGAGAGGGCGCAGACGAGCAGAGAGTGTCGCTTCTCGCTTCGGACTTGTGCTCATGGTGCATCGACTGTATGCAGTAGCTGGACACTAGAGGCTCATTTCGTGCGTTCCGCCGCTATGAGCCAGGCGCTATTTCTGTAAGGTGATGTGTTTGTGCAATAACTCGTGAAACTACGGTAACCTTAATAACTGTCACGCTTTTGAAAGTGCAGGGTTTCGTTCTTTCGTCATTTCTTTGATTATTCAAATGCTGGGCTGCATCTGCAGCCTTTGTCCGCTGCGTATGATGGGGCGTACCGCGTTTGGCACGCTGCCAAACCGTTCTCCACCAGTTGTCAAAAGGTACAACCGGCAACAACTGGTTGAAAGCGACTGTCACGAACGACGTAACACCTTAACAAAAGGAAATAGCTGGTTGGCGTGCCAAACGCTGCCGCGCTGACACGCCCCATCATCCGCAGAGAACAAGACTATAGTTCTGAAAGGAGCCCACAAACGATTAGGCGCCATGTGTGGGGATAAGGATACTTGCCTAAGCGGGGGGGGGGGGTACTCCGCAGCGCTTCTGTGCCTCTTCCCCATACCAAGTCCTAAGCTTAGTGGGTACTATGTCTTCTCTGGAAACGATACCTCAGCGCTCTGGTCTTCTGCGCTCTGAGCTGAAGTACTGGTTAGGGGAAGGGGCAAAGAGGGCGTGTGCCTCACCGCATTCCTACAACGCTGATCCTAACGCGGTCGGTTTCAGTGTTGCTATTGTTGAATTGTAATGTTGAACACGTGGAGATAGAATCACTCTCACTCCGTCTGCTTTGACCTCCGAAATCGCACGATTATTGATTTGCGCGCCCTGCGAGGGAATGCGTGCGCGCGGTGGTGTGGGTGATAATAATGGTGTATTCTCGTGTTCCACTTTGCGATGGGTGTTTTAGGTTGATCAATATTCCTGAGACTTGAAACAGAATATTTGAGCGAATACTTTTTCTCGTGTGAGGCTAGTCGAGTTCTTTCGTCCGAGATCTAAGCTGTGGTTCAATTACTTATCTCCATCTGTTCGCTGCGGATGATGGGGAGTGTCAGGAAGACGGGTTGGCGCGTCCCACCTACCTTTCCTTCCTGCAAGCAACAAGATATATCGTATTGTTCGTATTAGTCATTTCCAGCGATAGCTGTCGCTTCCTCGGTTCAGCAACTGCTAAAGAACGGGCAGCAGCGCGCCAAAACTAACCCCGCTTACACGCCCCATCATCCGCAGCGAAAAAAGATTGTGAATGTGTACGCATACATTCATTTCTACAATCATAATCCCTGCAAACGATAGGACGTGGGACGGCGGCGTGGCTTGGAGCGCAGCCAGGGCAGATTTCCCAATTTTAGCGGGCGCAGGATGGCATCATGGTTGTAACGAAGTCGCCCTGGATGCGTTCTAGTACGCTCCACCTCAGCACCCACCCTATTGTTTTCAGGGATCATAACTCTATATGAAGAGTGCTCGACATCGGCTCAGCACTTGGCAGAACGAATGTGCCACTGGGAGACCGCTCGGTCCTGCGGAGCGCGCCGCAGATGAGTTGCCAATGGATGAGAATTCCTGATAGAAGACGGGACGAAAGTTTGGCATTATTTACCTTCTACAGCCGCATTTCAAAGTCCAGGTCAGAACTTGGATTTGCGCTACTGGTGAAGCCGCCAAAACTCCTCAATTCGCTACATTCGGCAAAACTTGTCTCCAGGTAGGTTGTCCCCTGTGCACGGATATGGCATCCGCACAAACTGTTTCTGCTGGTCTGCACCCTTCTCCAAGGCAATGGGTCCCTTCCTTGGATGAAGTTGAGTTTCCCTAGCTTATCACTCAGCACGAAACTGCCTGTAGTGCAAGCACGCGCCATGTAAAAACAGGTATGTTGTACCATTGCCTGTAAAGCGGAAGCCAGACGGTTGTGCCAGGCACATGTGATTTTCGTGGGGGCAGACTACTACTTGACACAAGTTCTTGGAAAATCAGGAGAGAATATTTTTGCGCGGGCGTCGGCTGGTGATAGTGGGTTTGTCTCTAACCCAGGAGCGGAACTTTTGCTGATGGTTTTTCAACCCACGTATTGGTATAATATCGTAGCCAGCTTCATTACGAAAACATCTCGCCGTTCTGTTCCTTGGGAATTTTCATTCATACATGGGAATTTGTAGCACAAACGTCTATCTCAACAAGGGGGCCGAATAGTACATAGTCTTTATAAAAGCCTGAATTACTCGTTGATTTTTACTCTTTGGTTCAGAAAAAGGTATTACGAGTAGAAGGTCTTATCCTTTCAGAAGGAAATTTTGGCTCCCCATCTGAATGGAGTGGACTGGTTTCTGTTTTGACTTTCGATGAAAACCATCGAAAATCAAGCACAACGCGGTATTCTGTCGATTTTTTCAGATGAGCGAAGTCTCTGGTCATGTGTCAGACATTTTTTCCGATTCAAGTAGTCTGCCATCCTTGGCATTTTCCATGACGTTTACAGGAGAGGGCATGTCTATTAATACACTCGAAATCCCTGAGATGTAGTAGGCGTGCTGCGTACTTCAACTGAACGTAGCGGTGGGTGTGCTTTTGGTGAGATATTTTTTTGTTTCGACACAATCGCGAAGCATTCCATGCCATATTGAAATGCCACGCCTACTCCGTCTCAGGGATAAGGAGTGTAGCTACCGAAGTGCTAGCGTAAATAGAAACAAGTAGTCTTCTTCTTCTCCCTAGCGTTAGTCCCGCGCCGCCGCAGGGTCCGCTGTTCTTATCACACGTCGCCACTTGTTCCGATCCACTGCATCTTCTGCTGTGGCTTTTATTTCCGTGAGGT